TTGAGACGGCCTTGCATTTCAGCCCGCAGGAGAGTGATGACCTGCGCAGTTTCCAGTCTGAGCAACCTTGATTTTCCTAGAAACTTTTGGTTTTGATCTGGTTGTTGAGATTTTCAAATCCTACTCCCGCCAATCTTCCACCAATCTCTATTGGATGGAGAGAAGTTCTAACTAATTGTTCTGATTGCTGTTCTATTTTTATTTGTGGTTATGATGCTAAATATAAAGATAGCAGAAATTCACGAAAATGTATTACGTTATTTGCCTGTAGGTGGTATTATTGGACTTATCTTTTTGCTGGAAATTTTCTTAGTTGTAGATCATGTTTACATTCCAATATTACCAACAGAATTGAGTACAACTGTATTTCAATAATAACCTGCAAAATTGCAGACTGAAAAATCTGCTGTTTTCTGAGTTTTACCGCTTCCTGGACTGGTTTGCTGAGGTTTCCATGTTCTGCTGTGTTGCTGAGTGTGTGTGTGTGTAGCATGAGTGCTTGCTGGTAGCTGTGCTCTCGCGCTTACCTGTTTGTCTGAGTGATGGTCTGTGTTCCGAGATGGCCCGCTGGCCTGGTACTGCGGCCGTGTGTGTTTGGGGTCGTAGCAGGTAGAATAGGGTAAGGGAGGGGCGCGGAGCCCAGAATCGAGTAGCAGCAGGTAGGGCAGCGGAAGAAGACAAAAAGGTAGTACCTTCTGTAGGCCGAGGCAGTAGGTTAAGAGGCCTGGTAGGCTTAGGGGTAGGTACCGGTCCAGTAGGTTAGAGTCTAGAGCCTGCAACGAGAAAAATATCAGGCTGCAATGGTGTCCGCCAAAAGTGGAAGGGAACTGGTAGCCTCGGAGGCCGCATGGCCTGGAAAGTCACCGCGTGAAGAGGCACTAGTCCAGTATATCAAGGGAGGGAGCGAAGAGCTCTTCCTCGTTGCTGGTGTGCACTTCCCGGCACACTCTTGGAGCGCTCACCCAGCAAGTACTGCGCTGGGTGGAGGGAGGTGGCAGAGCTTGGCCCCCCCCTCCTTTATGGTGGAGGTGACCAAGGTGGAGGTGGGAGAAGGCCTAGATATGGGGGAGGCCTAGGTAGGATGAGGAAGAGGAAAGAGGAGGAGGAGGAAGGAGTAGGAGAGCGAAGAAGGACCTTGGTTATGGTGGTCTGCATCTTCGTCGACTTGGTCGGCGCTGCACATGGTAGTCTCTAAGTGGGGTGATACTTGGAAGGAAGACTCTGGGGGTATATTGTCGCTTGGCAGCCATAGTGGGAGAGGCAGAGTAAACTTGTGTTGTGCTTTGAACATTGGAGCTAGGCTCCAATGGTCCGCCATAGCCAAGTAGTGGAAAAAGGTGTAGGACCGGTACGGTGGACTTCTTGAGTGGCTGGGCAATAAGGGGATGATTTGGACATTGATTCTGGTTCATACATTCATTGTTGTTGTTGATTATTATTATTAATAAAATGTCGGGGAAGAAGCTGGACGAGGGAGTCGGTGGCGAGAGGAGGGAAAAGTGACATTGGTTCTTGCATGTGCTCATCTTCTTCTTCTTCGTCCATTGTCATTTCTTCTTCCTCCTTTGTCTACTTCTCTTCCCAATCTCTTTCATTCCAGTTGCGATTGAATGACATTGTCTTTCTTTGAGATTTTGCACTGTGGGATACCTAGGATCATAACAGGAGGTTGAAGGAGGATGGACAAGCCGTCTTCACTGAAAGCTTTCCTCCTCCTCTCCTATTCTTCTCCATCTTTTTCTGATTTCTAGTCTACTTGCTGCCTTCCGGTGATGACAATCATTGTGCGACTCGAGAGTGTGTTCATTACAGATCCACCGGATCCCCTTATTTGATCCTTACTGGTCAGGGTCATCTCCATGGTGTCTGTACCTGCATGGAATTTCGATCTTATCTGTCCATGAGAGAGATGCCATGGCTCGCTGACAGGTTCTCCTGGGTGAGACAAAGGAAGAAAAGTGTATATGCTGAAGTATGGCCCTGTATGGCCGACATTAGGGGCAGATCCATCACCGGTTTTCCCGTCTGTGTGTGTGCTTTTTCTTCTTTTGTCTGTAAGTGCATGCTTGCATTGAGAATAGGTGATTGAATTAGGCCCAGTTTTCGCCCAGGGCCCAGACGCACTTTGTTGCTGTCCTCAAGTACTTGTCAAAGGTCTGTGAGAAATGGTCCTCCCTTTCTCTCTGTGTGTTTTTCTTTCCGGTTTCCATTTTGCAAGACTTCAGGCCTCTTCCGCGCCTGAGAAAATGCGTCCCAGCCCTAAGCGAATGCCTGGCCTGGCGTGAGGCAGTTACAAGGAAGGCTCGCGCCTGAGAAAATGCGTCCCAGCTCTAAGTGAATGCCTGGCCTGGCGTGAGGCAGTTACAAGGAAGGCTGGACGCAGCCTCTCCCACTAACCGATGGGCCCAGTCTCTCTGTTTTCTGGAGAGGCTGAGGCCCAGTTACCCAGTACCCAGTCGGGAAGGTTCTCGGATGGAAAGAGCCCAGTCTCAGCCAGGCTGCCTTGGGCTCCTGGAAGTAGCACAAGGAGAGGAGGCCGCACTGGTCCATGCATTCATTGGTACTTGTTGCCAGCGGTCAGACCAGTGCACTGATGGAGGAGGAAGAGGGAAAGTGCAGCCACGGGCTAGCTGCTTTGCTTGGCAGCAGCCATAGCTGCACCGAGGAGGAAAAAGGGGGTGCTGGGGCTGTGGTTGTCGGGAAAGAAGAACGAAAGTGGGAACAGGTGGACTTACCTGGTGATGGCCAAAGAGAACACATCAAGGTGGTCAGACTTAGCAGCATTTTTAGGTGAGAGGAGAGTGGACAGAGAGATGAGAGTGGCGAGGGAGAGAGAAGTGGCCTGTGCATAGAGAATGAGTCGGAGAGTAGCATAGGAGAGCTGCCACATTGTGGTTGTATTGATGCGCGGAGGCGAGTAGTTGGGCTTTCATTATCGAGAGACTTCAATGACAGTGTGTACTTATTTGGTGTGCTCTCAGCTCTGGAATTCTGCTTTCGACTTTGCGAAGTTTGCGCAGAAAAAAAAAGATCTATGTATAAGTGAAGCTTAGGTAGATGAAGGCACAACCATAAAAAGATCTCAACCTAGAGCTCAAGGACGGACATATTCTATATATAAACCGACTTGTCATATTACAATTGTTATGAAATCAAAAGATAACACTCGATAATAATTTGAGATTTATTTCTTCTATATTAAAAGACTCGAACAATCAAAATCGAAAAATACAAAATTCATGGGACAAAAAAATACATCCACTTGATTTGGGCTACTACACTCTGGTTGTATTGATGCATGACATGGGAGAAGTTGGGCTTTCATTATCAAGAGACTTCTATGTCAGTGTGTACTTGGTGTGGTCTCAACTTTGTAATTCTGCTTTCGACTTTGCTCATATATGCTGGTTAACTTTCGAGTCTTTCACTGCTGGGAATATTTGTGTTCTCATTGATTGGACTATCCATTCGGTGTTTATGTTCCAACCTCCGGAGGTGATGTCAAACTGACATAAGTTGATCTTTTATGTTTGATACACCCCATAAGAGTTGTTTACATTCTGACACGCTGCGCACTCAGGTCTTCAGCCTGGTGCCATAGACCATGCGATACGGGCTGCAAGTCTTGGACAGTTTTCCAGTGGTGTAGGTGTATGTCTGAAAGATATCCCAAGGTATCACCCCCCCCCGGCTGTATGCGTACTTCTCTTTCCTTCTTTATTACATCTTATCATGATTCTTATGCCAATTAGCACCGCGACCTCTTAAACTGCTTTTCATCCTCTCTCTCTCTCTCTCTCTCTCTCTCTCTCTCTCTCTCTCTCTCTCTCTCTCTCTCTCTCTCTC